TACCCTTATATACTGAAGGCTCTTTAATACTTAATAGTCAGCAACATGATCGTGCTTCAAGATATAGCAACACTAACTGTATTTTCCCAAGATTTAGTCGTATGACCGAAGGCGGTAGATCATTCGTAGTCACTACCTGTAAACTTTGGAATAGCTTAAGTCTAGAACTCAGTAATTCTGTGCCATTAGAATCTTTTAAGAACAATTATGGAAATAACCTTCTTAATTTACAACAGAAACTAAATCATGTTCTAGTCTAACATATGATTCATCATTTTCTCTCAAGATACACTTTATTTTTACTCGTAATTCGTCTTCTTATTAGATAATTATTCCTAGTTTGATTGATAGTTATGTTAGAATTCAACCGTACATTGCTTGTTAGAATTTTTTAAATAGAGGGCCACAGGTTTATTAGTTACTTCAACTATTCCGTGACACCCTCTCTAAATTAACTAAAGTGTATTATTATTATTATTATTATTATTATTATTATTATTATTAGTATTATTATTATTATAACGCAGTTTATTGAACTTCAGTATGCCAGGAAAAGAAAGTTTCATAAGGCGCACAGCGTAACCTATGAAACTACACATCATTGCACTTATAAAAAATATAAAAACCTATTTGCTAGCATGGAAATTTATGTAAGATACAACTAATACTAATATACCATCGCTAATTTACAATCTATTATTAATATACATAACAACTAAGTCACGTTCTGTGAATAAGATCACTGTAAAACTTTTAAACTAAATTCTCTACATAAGTCGATTAATCTTCTAATATACGGAACTCAATATTTAAATTCCCCTCAATGTTTAAAACTATCCTTCAAATTAATATTCATATGCAGGAATAAACTTCATGCTTATATAATGTTCTTATCATGTTCAACCTTTCAAATGTTTCTTTTGTAGTTTTACTGTTCATGTTATGATCTTAAAAGTCCTTCCAATGTTCAACGTACTTGACACTACAGACTTCTGCATGTTTCGTAGCACATCTTTTGTCTTTTTTCCCAACAACTTCCGTAATCCCTCTTCCGTAGTCCTTGATAAACCCCCAAGTAGGTCCATTATTATTATTATTAGTAGTAGTATTATTATTATTATTAGCTGCAATAAATGGCTTGCATATCCCGACACAACCATTTTTGGAAATCGAGGAAGAAGAAAAAAAAAAATCAAAGAAGCAAAAATTTTAGCGGTTGGCATAATGGTTATCAGGACTTAATTTTAAATAGATATCGTTTATGTTTAAATATCTTCCCTGTATATCTCTATCGGACCTTTGGGTAAAGGAAACAACACTCAAGTACCCACATCTGGCCTTTTATTGAACCTAGGCTCTCACCGTCATTTCTTTAATTTTCCTTTACCGACCTTCATGAAAAAATGGGGAACGAGCAACGGAACAATTTACAGGGGTGGTCTCACTGAAAGCCGAAAAAACTAAGTGGAAAAAATACCAGCCACAGAACAAACAAAGAGTTGTGATTTCAAACTATCCCTATACGACGTGCCTCATCATAGATGTCTTTGAAGTGTATTATTAGCTATAATAATAATAAAAGTCTTTATTAAGCACTCTAAACAACAAACGTGTTTAGTTACAATGATATGAACTCAGCAAGTATAAAACTAATTAACTAACTGAATTACTAACTGACTAACTAATAAGAGAACAAACATCTATTAACAAAAGTCCTCTTGAAACGTTCAGTTCTGACAAGCGGGAGAATATAATTATGGCGCCTCTTACGTAGCGTAACCATTGGTCGCTCTGGTGGCAAAAGGTCATCTAAAGCTGTTGTAAAATCGCTGTCGGTGATGTTGGCCCACAACTTCTTATCTTTTAGAATAATAATATTTTCAATGGAAAAAAGCTCTTTACAGTAACCAAGCTGTTACGTATTGTATTGACTATCCAATTTAATGTAGATATATGACTTGGGACAAGCATAAATTTCCAACTCCTGACCAGATGCAGAAAAACCTGGCATCAAAAGGTCGAAAGGTAAAGCCATCAACGAGTAGTTATCAAAAATTCGAGTAACGAGATCTAGAACTTGTGTTTATAATCGATCAGCGGTAGCGCGTGTTACAAGCTCAGGCCTTATAACACAGATTCTGCAGCATAGTTTTCAGGTGTCTTTTTTAACTTGCAAGAGCACTATCCAAAGTGCACCTTCTCGTTACAGCATTAGTACATTGCGCATTAGGCTTGCGATATCGAGAAAGTTTTTTTTAAACTAGGTTTCCATCTTACGGAAATCTCCATCGCCAACAGCTATAGGAATGAATGGAACTTGAGTTGGAGAATTTAACGTAAATGGTAAAGAGAGGAAAAACGGCTTTTGAAAATTTGCTCAATTTCGAAATCTTGTTAACACAATGCATGAGTATTCTTTCTGTTTTTGTTCTTTTGTAGTTTCTTTGTTTTCACTTATTGATTTATCTAATAATTGTTATTGTATTTTAGATGGTTACTATAATTGATCCCCACATCAAACGCGAAGGTGGATATCACATTCATGAGGCAAGCTAAAAACTTTTAAAATAATTGTGGTTCGCAAACCCAGAGTTTGACCTAGCTCTCAAAAATAGTATTTTGTTTTGTTTTTCAATCTTCTATGCTATGTATCCACTCAACATTCTCTCTAAATTTCTGATCTCAGCAGTATACGAAGTGCTTGTAACATGTGAACCTAGAAACGGTCCAGTTCACCACTCGGTTGCAACGGGCGGAGAGAGGTTGGGCCCGACCTGTCTCCGCCTTAGTTGCAGGGTATAGAGCACCGCGATTCTGAAAGTCTCAACTTCATTTGCTCGTGCGGTTTGTTCAGTTTTACGTTTAAATCTCACAGGAAGCGACAAAACTGGGCCACTATGTGAAGAACAAAGATGGCGGAGAGTATGAGAACTGGTGTTGGCCAGGTAAGCTATGCATAAAATAGAACGAATAAAAACGCATTGTTGAGTGGGGGAGAGTTGACTTGAAATCCTTAAGTGTATCTGACACAGCAATAAGTGAAGAAGGCCAAAGTTTCGCTCCTCCCCTTTAAAAAAAAACCGCGTCATCGGCCAATAAAAGACCCAGAAAACCATCATATATTTTCTGCCAGACTCTCACTTCATCGTAATGAGAGTTCATTTTAGGGCCATCATCGATTTGATTAATTAAAAACTGAAAATGGTTTAATTGATCTCTCAAACGACAAGTGCCTTAACGGTAAGAAAACTGTTCTCAGCGTCCCTAGAAGTCTATTTTCCTCCGATCCCTAGGAACCTCATCCTGGATCGATTTCCTCAGTCCGGAAATTCGCAAATGGTGGGCCAGTAAGTTTTCTCTAAGCGAGTATAAGGTAAGTCACATTTTGGGAAAATTTTACTCTTTCCTAGGGGTTTTGTAAAGTTTACTGGTTAGTATTTTATTCGGAACTTTTTTTCACGACGACACGGAGCAAAAGTAATCATTAATTTTGATTTTTTTTTTTCTGAGAAAGCAGAGAAAATAGTCACATTATTATGTAGCTTTTTCTTTGCGTCTTCGACTCCTTCTCTCGGAGGGAAAACTCATATGTAAGAGTTTAATACGTGATATACAGGGCTCGACACTAACTTTTCAACTTACTAGCCAAGTGGCTATTGACATCTTAGATGTTATGACAATTTCAGTTTGTTTACTTGCCAAACTGACTTGTGAAAATCTAAAACCACTAGCCAAAACTGAATTTCTACTAGCCTGTGGCTAGTGGGCTACCGTTAGTGTCGAGCCCTGGATATAGGAAGCTTTGACGTAAATCTGAGAAATTATAACATAACCAAAGTAAAGCGCGCGCTCTGATTGGTCAGTTTAGTGTCCCCCATGTGCCCATGGGTGTACGCAGCTGACGAGAGCAAATGCATAGACAATTTTTCCGCACGGGTTTGTATTTTCTGGTTGCGTAAGATTTGTTAAATAAAAAGGAACTCTGTAGCTGCGGTGTATCAATGTTATGTTATAAAACAAAATAATGGTAAACACCACAGCGTACACTATTGAGTTAAGGATGCACTTGGGAGGTTTGCTAAGCACTCAAGAAGCTAGAGTCGCTCTTGGCTATCGCCTCGCGCGACCCTTACGCTTCTTTCGTGCTTAGCAACCTCCCGCGTGCATCCATAAGTCAATATATAGTGTACGCTGTGGTGTTTACCATTTGTTGAGTGTCGTCCAATTATCCTCTCTGTTCACTTGTGATGTTTTCTTTTAGGGCTCTACAGAAACTCTTTTTACCTGGAATGACATGAATGAGGTTAGCATAACGACAGATATATTTTTCTGGTAGTAGCGTAGTAGAAAATGGCTCTAAAACAGATCTGATCGCAGTTTTAGCCATGGAGGATCTTCGTCGTACGTACCGTAATCTGATCGTTTCTCCTCCCTTTCAGCCTTCTGTTTTCCATGGACCGGAAATAACCATGCACAAAGACGCGCTTCACTTCGGGGACTGGGAACACCGCGATGTGCACAACATCTACGGCTTCTATCAGCACATGGCAACAGTGCAAGGACAAATAGACCGTTCAGGGGGTAGGGAAAGACCGTTTGTCCTGTCGCGAGCATTTTTTGCCGGAACTCAAAGAAATGGTAAGTGTTTGTAATCAGGGGAAAAAGAAAGCGATGTAAAACTGGCTATGAAATGATTTGAGCTTATTTCCAGTGACCAGCTTAACAGGATATAAAGCTCACTACTGAGGCGCTTTAAAACGGAAGTTATCAAACTAAAACCAAGCTAAGCATAGCAGCCAATCAGAGAAGAGGACAATGATAAGAAGAAAAAAACTAACCCCATAAAACGCGGGAAAACATTAGTGACAGGTCGCGATTCGTCTGTGGTTTACATGTGATTGGTTGAGGAGTAGCACCAGGTTTCTAGACCAATCACAGCAGCTAACTAACAAAAACTAAAGTAATCTCGGATTGCTTTGGTTCCCCAAATTGAAACTGCTTATAATAATAGAAACTTGCTCTGCATTTAACTTACTGCGACTGTAAATTGATTTGTAGGTCCAATTTGGACGGGTGACAACATGGCGGACTGGAGCCACCTAAAGGCATCCCTTCCAATGATCCTCACTCTGAACTTGGTCGGGTTACCATTTTCCGGAGGTGAGGCGATTTTGATTCAATCAAGTTCGTAGCTGATTAGTTTCACGACGATTCACTTCGTGTATTTTTCTGCTGTTTTTATTCAGCTGATGTCGGTGGCTTCTTTAACAATCCTGACCCAGAGCTGTTACTCAGGTGGTATCAGGTAGATTTTCTTTCTTCGACTTATTCGTTTTCACTTCTGTTTTGTTTTTGTTTTTTCGATGGAATTAAAAGGGGTCGCGGGGCGGGCACAAGGAAAGTTTGCACGCGGCGTTTGTTGTTATGTGTCGTGTTTCATCCACTTGACTCCAATGTGTTTTTGTTGGGTAATGCCTCATACAATTTTGTCATGACTTGTCAAGTGGTGGCGTTCAGTTGGAAATCGCTTCAGTGATCTACTTCGCTTTGTGCGTACCGCGTACCGCGTGCCGCGAACCAAAAACTGGATCGCTTCGTTCAACCCCAGGTTTGAAATGCCGTGACACTCAAGCATGATTTTAACCATATATTAGAAGCTTGAAGCATGATGTGCTATTTTGATTATCACCATCAACTCGGACGAAGGGAAGGTCTGCTTTCTAACGCCTTATGTTGTACTGGATGTTTTTTTCAGGCGGCTGCTTTCCTCCCCTTCTTCCGTGCGCATGCTCACTTGGACACAAAGCGCCGGGAACCGTGGCTTTACGATGAGCAGTACAAGAATCTGATCAGAGATGCCATCCGTGTGAGATACTCATTGCTGCCCTATTGGTACACCTTGTTCTACCACACCTCCGAGACGGGCACGCCCATAGTCCGGTAAGTGTTCGCCGGTATAGTATCCGGACAAATGCGATTAACAACTGTTTTTCAAGTTGAGCATCCCATCGGAAACCGTTCGGAAACCAGTCGGAACTAATATAAAAACTTCGGAAAATATCGAGAGAAGAACTCGTTCTCAAGCCGCTGTCACATTTATGCTTTCTTTTGTTTTAACTGAATGAATTTTAAAAGAACGAGTTCCTGAGTAATTCATCTCATTGATTCTGGCTCATTAGGCCTTTGTGGGTTGAGTATCCGGAAGAGAAGAACACTTTTGCAATGGAGGATGAATTTTTGCTCGGTAAGTTTAGTCTTGTGAGTAGCTAGGCTTGATTTCAGCCTTTTTTTGTCGGTCAGTCTCCGATCCTCTCAAGAGGGAACTCCCGGGAAGGAACGCAGGCTCATTTCCTTCATTTCATTGCATTTCGTAATCTACGCAGTAAACTTTTTATCTCAAAGAGGAAACAGCCGTTAATTAGATATTCCGATTATCTTTTTAGGAAAGGATCTTCTCGTAAAACCAGTAACCACTCAAGGACAGAACTCGATAGATATTTACCTTCCAGGAAAAGGAGAGGTAGCTTATTTTAGATCGTAACTGCGTTTGTCTAACGTGTCCTCGTGTAAGAATCTTTTTGGGGAACATACCTTCTTTTTTTTAATTTTTTTTCTGAGCAGTATTGGTACGACCTGCATGATTTCAAGATTTACCGAGGGGAGAGTACGATCTACGTGTCTACACCACTCGAAAAGGTAAATTCATTGATTTAAGTCATACCGCATATTTAACAAATTTCAACTACCTTTCATTTTCTTCCCTTCTGTGAGTCACTATTTCGTGGGTCGATATCTAATCCCTCACCTTTTGGAAGAACTCAGTGGTTGAAGAAAAGAAGATTTCTCCCGGAATACTGGAGGATTTTTGTAATGTGAAATTCTTCTTGTAGATCCCAGTTTTCCAGCGGGGAGGAAGCATCATCGCCACCAAGCAACGAATCCGCCGATGCAGTGCACTCATGCACAAGGATCCTTACACTTTGACGATGGCCTTGAACCCCAGTGTAAGTTTTGGCATATTACTACTACACCTTAAGTGACAATTGAAGGAACGAACCTGTGAATGTGCAGTGTACGCGCGTACGGATGGACGGACACTCGGATGAACTTCTTTTAGCAACACATACGTGTTTATGGCCAGTTTTACGTGGCTGTTATAATAACATCTAATGTCATATAAATGTCGGTCCCGTCGATGAGCAAACGGTTCGCGCGTTGTACTTCTCTCAAAAAAGTCCGGGTTGGAACCCTGGCTGGGTTCTTGGATTAAATTTGGAGGGTAACATGAGATAGGCAAACGTCTCATTGGTAAGGGGGTGTATGGGGTCGGGAGGGGGAGGAGGTAGTGTGAATTCTCCCAGTCGCCCTATACTTAGATAAGAGGAAAAGCTCTGGCATGCTAAAACTAAAGAATCCTGTTCAATTCGTAAGCTTATTTCCTTTCTGCGCAGGCTGAAGCAGAAGGAGATCTTTACGTGGACGATGGACACACCTTTGACT